GAAGTCGTCAGTTCAACCTGCTTCCTTTACTCTCCACACTATTTGAAAGGCTGTAATAACATAACTAGCTTACTCCAGAGAGAGAACAGAGATCACAGGGAGCTGTAATGACCTAATATGGGTCTTACCATAGATGAAAAGATGAAGGAAAGGGGAAGAGACCCTGTCTCACCTCTAGGCAGTTTGGAGGCAGCTGCGATGAAATTGTCTGCTGCTGTCTGCAACCTCTCCTCATACACTGTGTCTGATGGATGAAGAGGAGGGGAAACAGAAATATTCAGCTCAGCACATCCTGGTGAATCGTGTGCTTTAGGGCATCATTTTGAAAACTCATTTCTAACTCCCCTCCTTTCCTGGCGCCCTAAAGACTCATTAACTTGTGCAGTTATGTGTCTATCAGAGCAGGTTTTCAGCTACCATTATTCAGCTTTTTGTCGAACTCTTCCACCATGGGCAGGATCTCTCCATCCAGAAGTTCTTTCAGTTGTTTGTCATAGCCCTTACCTGAAACAGGCACACACATCCAAATATAAACCATCTTTCTTACTGTGTACGTTGTCTTTCGTGATAAAACATAATACATCAAAAAAACAACCTCGTACCCACTCTTCCAGCCTCAATCACTCTCTCATGGTTGTTGAAAATGCGGTCCAGCTTCCTGAAGCAGGAGTCCACATTTCTAACATTGTGCTCAGTCACAATGTGACCCCAACACAGGCGAAGACTGTCTTGCACTTCAACAAAGCACTGATAGCAGCTTAGAGAGGGTCCTAACAGCAAGCTAACACACACCAGACACAAAGCAGATTTGCACATTTTGCAGCGTGAGCATCTAACTCAAACTGATTCTGTATGAACTGTTTTCATTCAAATCCTGGGCTCATGGTGACCACACGTTGACATTCCGGTGTTTTGTATATCCAGGAGAAGGTTACAAATTAAAGCTTTCATTATTCATTTAGTGTGCATATCCCACATGACATTTTAAGTAATATTTTGAAAGTGTCCTGCTTATGTATCCTTAACATGCTTGGGTTTGAGAGGAGAGCATCACACCTCCATTCTTCCCTCCATTCTATTGTCTCTGGTCCCCATTTCCTGCTGCCTCAATGCACCAGTTTTACTGCAGAGCACAGAGATGGAGCGAGCCAAGGAGGCGAGGGGGGAGAGAGGAGCAGAAGACTGGGAAGTGAAATGCTTATGTGTGACCAGGGATAAAGTGGAAAGCGTACAGGCAAGAAAAAACAAGACAAATATACAAAGAGTTAATGTGTAACTGGTGGGGAGGGAGGTGGCGAGACGGAGAACAAAAGGGTCATCAATAGAATACTGAGCAGAGAGAAAGTGCAAATCGTGCGAAAAAAAGAGTCAGACTCTTGCTTGTGGAGTTTAAAAGATGTAGTAGTAGAACAAATAAATAGAGGTGGAACAAAGAATAGGAGTGTATGCTAGAGCTAAGAGAGGACACATTAGTGACAGGCAGAGGAGGAAGAAGAACGGGACTACAAATCAAGTCGACTGCCTCCTCACATCCTGTATCCCCCACTCGTCTCCCTTCCTCCTCACCCCCCGTCCTCCCCCTCTCTTCCCTGGTCCCTCACTCCCGGTGCATCTCCATGGCAACCAGACAGGGTGCCTAATACATGAACCTACTATATTTCCAGTGGCAGGGTGAGCTGGGTACTAATGCATTCATCTGTCTCCACACAGACAAGCCAATCAATATTAGGCAAGAGTGTGCTCCAGGAGCCAAAGTCAGAACGCTAGTCAGGGGGACGGGGAAAATCCCAGATACGTGTCTGTGTGCTTTTCATTGTGTTTAATAGAGCTATGTGCTGCAGTACGGCACAAATCTTTTCGTAAGCATTTATAAAAGCATAAAATGTGCTTATTATTTACATCTTTTATCTTTATCTTTTATTTAGTTATTTTGTATATTGATTGTTGTGTTTTATCGTAATGTGTGCATATGTGTAAATGTGTCTGTTGATTGTATATATAGAGGATATCCATATTTATCCATATTTTTATATTTGTATTATTGTATTTTGTATTCTGGATTGTTGGAAGCGTTATTTCGATCTCTGTCTGTACACACACACAGAAACATTTACATTAAAGTTGACTTTTGACTTCAGTTGTAAGAGAAAATATGTTCTATTTATGTGGAAGAAGAAGCTCTTATCACTCTTTACTTCTTAACCGGTGCTTCATGTCAAATTCAGGTAATTTGGCCTCGATCTAGCAAAGATAACTCATTGCAGACAATGAAAATGTAATTTGATATTGCAGACTTAACCAGACTCAGGGACAGTTTCATCCCACAGGCCATAAGACTGTTAAACACCTGAACTTTTGAAACATCCATAACATTCATCTGGCTGCTACTTAGAAATTATTTATCTAATATATCATATTCCAATCACTTGTATAGACTCTTATTGCACTATTTCACTATTTTTTGTATTTACTTGCACAATTTTTTCTGTGTATCTGTTTTATTGTGTTGCACTGTTGGAGGAGCCTGTGACCTAAGGTTTTCATCGACATAACTACACTGTAGCTATGTACGTATGACCAATAAAAGCCTTGAACCTTGAACTTAACACCTGTGGAGCTTTTTCGACAGTCACAAGAAAACATGTGCACATTACAACATTTTTTTGCCACGTTTTATTAACATACAGAGGTAATTACAGAGCAACGTTTCCAGTACAGAACATTTACATGATGATAAATAACTCCACAAGGCGACAAAAATGGCGGGGTCACAACCCTTGGCTGTCTTTCTATTGGCCCCCATTGAGGGCTCAAACACAAAGCCAGCCAATAGGGACGGCCCCCTGAGAGTGTCTGCTGCAGCAAGAGGGGTCTTCTTCTTGATCATCACATGACAGGTAAACATACTGAAACAGTCAACATGAAGAACAAACACAGCTGGGTACTGAAATACATCAGAGCCAGAAGAAACGTTACATTGTTTAATGTGGTTTGAGTGAACATTGAGAAGGAAAAACGGATACTTCATCACGTCATATTCTTAATCGTAGGCCGTTGAAACTGAATGCAGCCCTGTTCCCGAGGACCTCACCTGTGACCTACTTTGACCTCACAGGTTAAGGGTCTCAGGGACAGAGGGGCATACTGACAAATTAAAGGAGGAAGGGTCTAATAAGAAAAAGTACAAAAAAGGGGACGCAGAGATAAAAAAGTATTGAAGGAGGAACCGCAGGGTGGCTGCACCGAGACAAAGACATGACCTCATCTGACATTTGGATTCTGCGGCACCGACTGGTCTCCTGGTTTGCTGCAGATCAAAAGCAAGACTGATCAGATCAATGTAAACATGTTCAATAGCATATTTGTCTTCATTTCACCCACACAATTCCTTCGCTTCACAGTGCAGCAATAAGAGCAACAAAACATTTTTCAAGGCTGAAATCATCTCAGCAATGCAGCGGTTCAGCATTGTTAGGAGAAACTATTCATTTTAAACTGCTGCTAAATGTCACTGTCATTTTGAACATGATTTATTGAGCTAGGACTTACAAATTACAGTGTGTAATAGCTTTACTGGGCTCAATGAGCCGAGAGGACTGTAATTATCAACATAATAGGTATGTACAAAACATAGGTGGTAGAATTATATACGAGACCAACTTTTGTTTCATAAAAAGTGGGTATTCATTTTTAGTTATTGATATTTGAGCAGGTTGAAACCTCCAAAGTTCCTGTGAAGACGCATTTTCAGAGCTATACTGTCCAAATGTTGCACTTATTTTGTCATTATTTTGTAATAGTCTGCCCTCAGACTTACCAGTAAAGATGAAACGAGACCGGGACATGGAGGGCATAGAACACAGAAACCTCCAGTAATTGAAATAAAACAATGACACTTTAGAGAAACCCAAACTGTATCTTTTTTTATAAAGACAAATATATATATTTATCCCAAACCTTTTTGTACATTTCTGTAGGAAAAGAAAAACAATTAATTGTTTCGAAATATGCCACCCTCTGGTAGACAGGCAGAATGACACAGGCTGACTGGGGAAGGCTGAATATGTTCATATGTCGTGGAAGAGAGAGATTTGCATTTTCCGACAGTTCAAATGTTGTGTTTTCTCTGCAAAAACACCCCAGTGTGAATGTGAATAAAAGGTGCAAGGTGCCTGCGTCACGTCATGCATCAAATTGAACCGCAGTACATGTACATATAAACCTTGAGTACAGGTTGACTTCATGAGCTACAGGCCTCAAAGATTTTGTGAATCAGGTGTGATTTTCAGTTTTTCTCAGTTAATACTGCATGTGACAGACCTGGCAGCCGGATCAGACCAGACACATTTGTCATATCTCCACCTTCAAAAAAATTAATTAGCGTTTTGTTTGCGGTAGAGGTTGATTTTGAATTGGTTTAAAATACACAATTCATGTTGGTATCAATAAAGCAAAAAGGTGAGTTAATCATGCCAAACGACAAAGCACACTAATGATTATTGCAGCAGGTGTAAAAGCATAGTAAAACACAGCCAGTCATAACATTTCAATTCCCTGACAGCTGCTATTTTTCTAATTTACCAGCCAGATGTAAAACAAATGAAAAGGTATTTATATTGAGTTAAATGTCAATAATACATTTTGTTAACTCAGATTTCCAAAGAACATGTTAAATAAAAGTCAGAATTAAAAGAAACTGCGAATCAAATATGAAACGAATATATAACCTGTCGAAGAACATGCAGCCAGGGCATTAATTGCAAAGCTTTTCAGCGGTGCAGACAGACATTCACAATTCATCAATATAAACAGATAAACAGGGCACACATGTATGCACACATTACAAATAGTAATAGTCAGAGGACAGGATGTGAAGGACTAGTGAAGAGAAAGTTTCAGATCAAATATATGTTATCTCTACATAAATAAATACAGTCCTTAATCTGATCTCACATTTTGAGTGAAAATGTAAAAAAAGAGAAAATAAATCACCTCTTAGTCAGCCTCTTCTTTTCCTTCCCAGTCAGAGTGAGTCTGTGTGTCCTCTCCCTCTCTCTGATGGTCTGTGGGGCCAGACAGAGAGCCAGCGGCAGGTAGGTTACAGACAATAGTATTGATTCCATTTTTCTCTACCTACCTGCCTACCTGCCTGACTAACACCAACATCTGCACAGCTGCTCACCTTTTGTCTCTGTTGGGCTGCCGTCACTAACGCACAGAGCTGCAAACAGGAGGAAAATAAAGGAGAGAGTAAAAAGAGCTCGCTTCACATGCTCGCTCATTCACCAAACCTCCCCGTGCACATGCTGTCCAACACGTACAGATGATACACACATACACACACTCACACAAAACTCATTTACCCTCCGTGCTGCATTCACGGTCTCTAGACGTCTCCCTTTGCTCTCATTGTACCTCAAAGTCTACTCTCTTCCTTCCTCTCTCCCTCTTTTACACTCTCTAGTCGTCATCCTTCCATCTCCCCCTCTTTGCTCACGTTTTTCAAGCCTCACATCTCTACTAGCTCAGTAACCCCCCCCATACACACACACACACACACTCCAGTCTGTGAGCTACGTGTGTGTGTGTGAACGTGTGAGAGATGGAAAGAGAAAGTGAACAAGAATGCAGGGAGTGCATGCATGCGTGTGTGTGTGTGTGTGTGTGTGTGTGTGTGTGTGTGTATGTGTATGTATGTGTGTCTACTGAAGGGAGGAACATTGTATGTGTGAGAGAGAGGGAGACGATGGGGGGAGGGAGGTAGGGTGGCGGAGAGGCTAGCAGAAAGTGGGGATGGAGGGGGAGGGTCAGAATCTCTAATAGGATGAGAATAGAGAGAAAATATGAAGCCCAGGAGTCTCGTGAACCTGCGAGCCTGACATTCCTGCCTCCTCCTGTGTGAACAGCAATCATACCATCATCACACTGATTACAGGATTTACGGTGTTGCTCCAACAAAACTGTAAATTGCAGCTAGACTGATCAAACGCACTAAATAAACCCAAAGTGGAAAAGCAGAGCCAATTACAAGAATGTGTTTTAATTACAAAGCTTAACATCAGAGGTGGACGATGATGCATCTTTCGCTGTTTGGTACAACCAAGGCTGTTTAAACCCATGAAACAGTGAGAAAGATTAAACTGCATGCATTACAATAATAAATGGCTAAAGTTAGTATTTTTAGGCATTTACATTTCTGTCAGTTCTAATGTCTAAAAGCAGTTTGATTCCATCATGTGTGCTCCTCATGGAGAGGACAGAGCATTGCAGTTGTGTTCGTTGTATAACAGAATCATACGGCCCTGAGGGAAATTCAGAAATGAAAGTAAATCTAATTTAGAGCCACTGATTGGCTGTCTGTTCAGCGAGATGGAGCATAAACAATACACTTGAAGTGTAAGCATCATTAATGGCCCTAAAGTGTTCTGACCGTGTTGTACAACAGAAAGTATCACCTATGTGTCACACATTTAGAGACAATAAAGATAAACCGACAAAGGAAGACATTGGTTGTGGCCTGAAGGAGTGAGCAGTGACTGAGGCCTTTCATAACATCTCTCTGATGGATTGCTAGTTAAGACCCACTCCTAGAACACATTTGAAGGCATTACATTGAGAATAAATACAGGGACAAGTAAGCACATCGATCTCCTGGCATTTACTGAGAATTTGAAAAGCCCTCTCACAGGAAAGCAAGAACTGACAAACTACGTATGATGGGAATCGATCGAAACAAACTCGTCTTCACCTTCGTTCAGAAGCTTTCCAAAGAGGCGTTTGTTTCATAAATATGCAAGACGAGGATCCAAATGTAGGTTAGAATAATAACACTATACATTCATTATAACTCATGAATATTCAGGATATACCAACATTGCTTATAGTCTGTGTCAAAAGAGCAGCAGGCACTGTAGACACAGTACAGCTGAATGTATTTCCTTCTTTGATCCTATTCAGTAAAACCTTCTTATTCACAGCTGTGATGCGCTACAGGACTCTTTACATCCTCCTCCGTGGACTCAATCTTTCTGTAATGCCATGCCACCTACATTTGCATAGAAACAACATGCTGAATGTGTTTACAGTATCTGCTGTGATATGTGTGCTGCATGTTCTTCCGCACTGTCCCTTTGCACTCCATGTGTGCCGCTGTGCATTAGGTGCTTGCGCTGCACATATAACACATCAGATCGTGCATTAATGTCGCCCAAGACAAATTCCTCTATATTTACAAAAAAGTGATGAGAGCGGAGGAGACTCTCCATATGGTCTATACACATGCAATAATTCTACTTTACAGCACGGCTTTCTGAGCAGAGGCGATTTAGACAACAATTGGACTTAAAAAAAACGAGCAAAAGCAACTCGATGGCATTAGCATTTGTCCCAACCTGAGGGACAAATGCAGAATGTCACAGGAAGGTGTGTGTGTCCGGGGTTGTGAGTGTACGAGTGTGTGTGTGTGTGTGTGTGTGTGTGTGTGTGTGTGTGTGTGTGTGTGTGTGTGTGTGTGTGTGTGTGTGTGTGTGTGTGTGTGTGTGTGTGTGTGTGTACTCTGCAGTGCCACTGAGAGACAAAGCACTGGGAGTGCTTCACAGGGATGACATCATCAGTCTGGGATGGTGTCTGCCTCGTCTGTTTTAGGATGCTCCAGTTCTCCCTCACAGTCCCCAGAGATCTGAGACGGCATCGTTTTGGCAGAACAATCACCCTCATCACACCTGTTCTCATAAGTAGTGTTTGTGCGCAAAGGGCTTTGAATAAGATTACATTTTAAGGGTGTTTCAAGGAAGAACAGGAAGCCTTTTTACAAGAGAGGTTTTACTCATGATTCCCACCTTGACAGAGATTCAGAGTAGCATATGTGCACGTGGATATATGGTAATATGTTTGTTTATCAATCTGCTCACACATATGGACGGTGTGCAGCATCTGCCACAATATAAAATGAGCCAAGTATAACAATCTTTGCCACGTTGTATGAGAGGAAGGGAGTGAGGATGAGGCAGGGCAGATAGCTCTTCCTCCCAGACTCATAATCCTTGCCCCACACACCTTACAACTGTCAGATGTTCAGCTGTCTCTGCTGGCAGAAGAGCAGCATTGTGCTGGTGGATGATAAAGAACGCTTAGACTGACAGTGCCGAATCAGCACAATTCTGATATATGCTCCCTTTTTTCCAGGAGGGGAGGAGAGCCGGCTAAAACGCAGTGCAGATGGCTGCTGTCTCGACCACCAGTCCGACACACTGAGGGGAAGGGAGGAGTGGGAGGAGGGTAATGAAACTGGGGAAATGTGTGTGATAGTGTGTGCTGGCATGGATGCAGAGGACAGCAAGAAGTGTTAACATAGAAGTATAATATGATCAAAAGTGTAAAATGATAACATCAGGCTCCTCTACCTGTTGTAACCTACAGTACATCCATACATGGATTACAGGCAGGGAGTCTATGGTCTTCATAGCGAGGATGTGTTAAATGCATATGAAGAGTGTGAGACTTTATAGAAAGGATTGAAGGGAACAAGGATAGTAGTAAAGAGGGAGAGTTATCATTGTTTTTTTTCTTTTAAAGTGGGAGAAGTCAACTTTTTCTCATCCCGGATTTATTTATCATTTCATTCTTCGTCATTAATATTGATATATTTTGGTTTTAAGTCAGTTTGTCTGCAAGCAGAGGGAAAGAAACATTGTCTCTATATCAGGGCTTATTTTGCAGCTATTTCCTAAAAAATAGCCAACACCTATATTTGTAAGGGTCTAGTAAACATTAATAATATGAAAATTAAAAAAAGACAATAACCTCCCCACGCTACTAATTCTTACAGTACCTCAAAGTAGAATTGTGGAAAGAAACGGAGGTTCAGCTTCCTCCCTTAAAAGGTTTTTGCTGCAGTAGGAACGACTGATTTCCTGTCAAGCAGCAGGTGGACCTCCTGACAAACATGTCCAGTGCTACCAATATTGCACACACAACGAGACAGGCTCATAGGGAAGTACTGCAAGAGGACTTTCCTGAAGGGGAGAGTGTCTGATGAGACCTTCAGAGGACAGACGTTTGTCGCAGTTGCAAAGGACAAATCATGTCATTAAGCACTATAAGATTCTCTGGCGGAGTAACAACATACTTACCTCTCTGCTGGTGGCACATTAGACGTGGCAAGGAGTGACTCCGCAGGGAAAGCTAGAAGGTTGTAGAGTTATCTCCGTGCTGTTTATTATGCGAAACCATACAACCAACTACCTCACACTGCAGAGCACAGACTGTAGAGCTGCTCTCCAAGCAAGATCCTCAGCAGCGGGACGAAGGTGTCTGTGTACATTTACTCTAGGAACACACCCGTCTGGCTCCTGTCTACCTGTCAGCTGATCGCTTCATGCCTCACTACTGTTTTGTGCATGCAACATTCTCAAATCTGTTTTCTCTAGATGTCATTTAGAGAGAGTTTTCTTTTGTGCATGTTTGACTTCATGCTGTTTTTTATTATTTCAATCTAAGCAAGGAAATTGAAATCCTCAGACATAACATATTTGTGTGTGTGGTTAAGGTAGACAAAATGGACATTTGTTGAGCACTTAAGAGGAAAAGAAGGGTTACTTTGCCTGAAGAGATGCAATTACTGTTTTACTGTTACAAATCTGCACACAGTACTGGGTTGAGTGAAGCTATACTGAGTGTTGCTGCAATGGCCATGATGTAACAGGGACGGCTGCAGTGAAGGAGCTCAGGTTAAAGACTGCACGCAAGCCTGGAGCCTCAATTGCATATCTGCAGATAGATATTGGTGTAGGACAAAGATGAGACAGCTGCAATAAACACATGTGCTGTTGGAAGGTGTGAGACGCCTTGGGATAAAATAAGAGACACACGTATCTCAGTCAAAAGTAGTCTGCAATCGGGAACATTGGAACAGACATGTCCACACATCTTAGCCTCACATGCAGGTGTGATTACTACAAAGGCTTAATTTCACATGTTCATTCATAGTATTTCCAACCATTTCTTAGGAGCTGTTGCCCTCTACTGGTCACTGTGTAAACTCCCTCTCACTCCTCGATTGTTCTTCCTATCTGTGCTATGTTCTCATTGTTATGTACAGGATGTTACAACAATCTCTAATCAAATGACATCCTAGAGAGCAAAACTTAAATCTTCTCCTCTCCTAAATCAGCAGCTGTTATAATGTCCCACTCACAATTAAACCATATTGTTTGGCTTTTCACATACTGCAGCTTTTCATCCACATCAGCTGTCTGATTCTCGCAAAAAGCGGTTAGGTTTTCACGAGTTAGATGCCATCTGCATGCTGTAACACTGTCATCACCCTCAAGTCTGCTGTCAGCTGCGATGTCTAAATCTGGGTGACTTCTGCTCCACTGCCAAATGGAATATCCTTCATGTCACGCCGAGTGAAAAAAACAAACAACAAGCCTTAAACTGAAACGTATTTCTCTCTGCGAATCCTCGCTGCAGGAGTCGTAGTCAAAGTCGTAGTCGCACTCTGCAATACCACGTCTGCTGGCACAATGCTACATTCCAACAGCTACAAGCCGTGAGTGTTGCATTACCCTGAGCAGAGATTCAGACATAACTGGGGCAAGATGATGTGCTACTTAAATGCCACTTAAAGAGTTTACGCAGACCCTTAACAAAAACAGAAATACTTTAACAAATGCTATCAACATTGTGAAGTATAAACATCTTTCACCTTCACTGACGAAAGAGATCAGTATGTGGGAGCTCTGCTGGGTCTCCCTGCTGCCTGTATGAAAATACTGCCTGGCATGTGGGATTTAAGGAATCCATCTTCCAACAAAGGATCATTACAATACAGTGCAGATCTCAGACCGCACCTATCTTTCTGCAGACATCGTGTGCAACTGTGCATGGCTATGATGTCAATGAGAACAAACGGACATAGAGAAGAAACTAAATATATTTCAATGACTTGTATATAGACTCTTATTGCACTATTTCTATTCTATTCTATTTTATTTGTATTTACTTGCACTATTCTATCTGTTTTATTGTGTTGCACTGTTGGAGGAGCCTGTGACCTAACATTTTCATCGACATAACTACACTGTAGCTATGTACCAATGACAATAAAAGCCTTGAATCCTTGAGATAGCCATTAGGCAACATGCTTGTGTTACTTTCTAAAATGTTGCCAAGTGAATTGGTTTCCTATTTTCTCCACCTCCTTTTTTTTTTCGGTATGCGTTTAGTGTCCTATTCCTCCTCTGTCTACCGCTCCCATCCCTTTCTCTTCCCTGTCCCAAAGTCCTCTCCTCTCCTCTCCTCTCCTCTCCTCTCCTCTCCTCTCCTCTCCTCTCCTCACTCAACCTTTTCTCTATTCAGCCCTCATGGGTCTACATTTCCCTCCTCTTACCCTTTTGACCATCCCGTTTTCATACCCCAGACATTTCTGCTCGACCCACACATGCCGGCCTGCCTTTTTTCTTCCCGAAAGACTCCTCTACTTTATACCCAGCGTCTGCAATATTTTCAGAGTCACATCACGCAGAAATGCAGTGTAATTGTGCCAAAGTCAGCTATCCTTCTCCCTCCCTATATCTTTCGAACTCCACCCTTAAGCGGGACTGTCTGAGTGTCTAAACAGTGAAAGCCCACTCCAGCATAACACACGTCTGGGGTGACTTGTAAATGGGGCGTCTCGCTTGTTGAAGTTCAAAATTCCTCTCCTACTTGATCATCATTCACATGAAGTGACAAACAATGGGAGAACACTTAAGGGTTACAATCCTTAAAAGACATGCAAGAAATCCACTTGACAACGCAACAAGACATTTGACCTTCAATGCTTTCATTCTGTATGTAATCAAATTAAAAACAAATATTTCTCCAGGCTGAATGTAAAATATGAACTGATTTTCAGTATGTCAAAGCCCAGTTTCATCAAGTATCTGTGCACCACCTTGGCCACTGCATTTCATTGGGAGTAACACATCTTTCAATAAGGGAGCATCTCCATAATGTTGATGTGTGTAATCTAAGAGAGAAACACTTTGATCTGCTGCAATACGCATGTGTTTTTCCCCAGGTGAGAGCAATACTCTATCCTACACTAATCTGCTTTGGTTGACGCCAGCTTCACATTACAAGATAGCTAAATGAATGTTGCCATGGGAACATTTTGCCTGGCAACCCTAACATCCTGGCAACTAGCCAAACTGTTGCCATGGCACAGCTGTCAATCCACGTAGGCTGGGATTGGTGTGCGTCTGGCCTTTTCGTAGCCCCGCCCTTTTCAAAGTTTTGAATCAAATGCACTAAGGAGGAATTGATCTCAGGTTTTAAAGTGCTGAAGGTGTGTGTGTGTAGATCTGTTAGGATAAAATGGTTCTGCCTGTAATGCCAAATAAAGCAACAGAGAACCATTGGCCGACTTTTTCAGACATAAATCAGTTTGGGATTTTATCATCTGGTCAGCCAGAGCATCAAAGTGGCGGGATAATAATCTTTCATTATTTAACTGACTGTGGAAAAGCATTCCTGAATTCTTGGATAATCATGATTACATAACTTTCCATTACCCCGTGTCATTTATTGCCAAATCATTCAAGAACAAACAATTCCCTTGTCACGAAAGGCATATATATAATTTTAATCCAAATCTATAAAGGCTCAAAGACTACATTAGTCAACAACATGTGTGTGCATGTGCATTTTTGCAGGCCTAGTCCTTTGTCTTCCAGAAAATAATTTGAGATCTAGAGATAAAGAATGAGTTTTGGGAGTGAGCTATTTGGTCGACCAAAAAATAAAAATAATTGAAGCCACCTATGACTTTTCTTGTTACAGACCTTCAAATACTCAATCTGCACTAACATGTCATTTTGAAAAATGTTCACCCTATTCTACTGCATATCAACAACGTGATTTCATATTTCTTCTGATAACGTAGAGCCCCCATTATCTAAGCCATCATTTCCCTTGTAAATTGAAAAGTTTGAATGTAGGAATAACCATGGAAAAACCAGGACCTGGGGAAAAAGTCAGATAGATCGATGGAGGGTTAGGAGAACAGATGAATGTACATGTATAACTGGTTGATTGATGGATAAGTAAAATGTGTAATGTAAAGGAACTATAGTTACCTTGAGATCAGTGCCTTGTCAGTGTGTCAGCTCTCCTCAGATATTAGGCAGAGGCAGACTGAAACACACACACACACACACACACACACACACACACACACACACACACACACACACACACACACACACACACACACACACACACACACACACACACACACACACACACACACACACACACACACACGTGAAAACTGTTTAACCAAGAGGTCACAGGTTCAATCTCTGCAACAGCTGAAGTGTCACCGGACAAGATCATGAAAAGTATCCAAAGCTCCAAAGTATAACACACACGGTCACTTAAGAGCACATTTTTTAAATATATAGTGTTTCGTCCTGCTATATTTGAGTCTTTAAATCTCATTCATCTCAGACAGTAATGAAATGACTATCGGCAGAACTGAGGTCCTCACTCAATACATACACTTTTTAGAAAGAATCAAAAGGGTGCAGTCACAATAAGATAGTAAATGAAGGTCACATAAAATATACCACGAAGATGATTCTATTTCTAACTTTTGTGAAAATTCAGCCTATTTTAAAAGTAAAATGTAACGTTTCGCTTTGCTTCCTGAGTACTACTTGATAAATGTTTGGATATTAACACAAGTTAATTGCTTATTGTGAGCACACTTGCTATCACAGAGGATTACTATTTTGGACGATATCCTTTTAGTGCTTCACTGGTTGAAGTTATCAGGGTTGGACATTACCGGCAGCACACAGAACATCAATTCTGTTTCATGCTTTTTTCTTTCTGTTTGCGATTGTCTGGATAAACATGTGAGGGTGTTTCAATCTTGATATCTGAAAGCAATCTCAATGCACACACACATGCGTCCTGCAGTGTGGACAAAGCGATGCACCAGCCTGGAGAACTAAGCCTCCTGCTCCAGTTTGATAAATATAACTTCAAAAGAAGCAGCCAAACAGCTTCAGCGGGCCGACTGCACAATGAGCATAATAACTCCCCCCCCCCCCCTGGGAGCTCCAGCCTAGTTCATTTACCCTTGCAGAGCGCTGCCATGTCTGTACGTGCACATGTGTCTTTGTTTCACTGTGAGCCCCTCAGAGGCTCCCCACCTTCTGCTCTGTACAAAAACGGATGTATAGAACCTTTTGGACCTCATTTTAACAGAGGAAATGCATCCCCCCTCCCTTTCCTCCCTTCTATTTGCCCCTCACATGTAATGCCTGATTGACCACAGCACCCCTTAAAGAGGTCAAAGGGCAGACAAAACAGTCTGGTGTCATGGCAACCTGTGTGCCACCAACCAGAATGCTAAGGGGGTAAGCAGGGGGGGTCCAATGAGCTGTCAGCTAAACCTTTGAGAATGCCGCCTTGTGTTTAAGGCTAATGTGTGTACAACATACAAACACATACACACACACATAATGCACATGCACTTTGAAAGGACCCTAATTTGTACACCCAAAACCCCCCATGCCATGCAGCTGAGTGTAATACCCATCAGAGTCTCAGATGGCGCGCACGCTGCTGTGCGTTTGCTGTTGCTGCACATGCATGCGCCTGAAAGTGTGTAGTTCCGTGTGCACAGGAGACACTGTGTAAAAGGTTCTTTGTGACCGCTCGATGCAGTGGCAGTGTTTACGTGATGGGGGAGGGGGGCTGACGGATAAATGGGAAGCAAATGCATTCAGATCAATACTAAGCTGAGAGAGGGTGAGCGGGTTTGAGAAGAGAGAGTGGAAGGTGGGGAGCAGAGAGGGAGGGGCCACGGAGGGACTGATTAATCATTCCTGTATTTTTATTGACTTTCTGTAAAAGGGGTGAGTCAGACCCTGAATTATGTGTATGTGTGTACGTATTCAATGAGAGCACAAAGTCATCAATTACACTGTAGCCAGTTTAGTCGTGCATCGCCTACCTTTTAATGTTCCCAGTGTGTACTTATAACTTTTAGCCAGTTAGTTTGCATATTCAGCGCAATGAGCGTGAAAGATTAAATTATTCATGTTTTTAAAAAAGAGCTAAGCTAACTGTTCAGTTTGAACAGTCAAAGGGAAGGGAAGGAGGCGAACAGGAAATCCCCTGTGAGAAGTTAATGAGGAGCTGACGACGGAACAGACACAACAGAGAAAGCGGGAGGGAGGGAGGCAGCTAGAGGTGGAGGAGGGGAAATGCTGCCCTGACATCTGACCCTTTGGCTGTGACCTTGTTCATTGTCTGAGGACAGAGACTGGACACATCTGAGCATCGGCAGCATGTCAGGAACCATATGAATGTGATATAAAAATATACTTTGCAGCTAATTATTTAACCCAGACAGCAATGCTGTGCTCAACCCACACCAAACCCCTAATTAAATAAATAAAATTGACCTAATTAGTTTTCATTTATAACTGCACAAAACCAACGTTGCCACAGGCAGTGTTTTTCTCTAATTACGACCCTTTTAAAAACAGGGACTTGTCAGAGGACGGAGGGCCCAGCTAACTGAATGAAAAACCCCATTCAGTGTTACCTTGAACTTGAACAATGAGTCTGGTGTTTGTGCTGGGGCCACTTCCTGACCTTTCCATGCCTCTGTGGAAGCAACCAACCGCAGCCGCTCCTTTCATCTTACAGATGTGACCCTGACGACCCACACTGACCAAAGAACAGCCGGCAACGGCAGGTTTTACTTCCACTACTGACTCCTGCATCTTCGACTTGCAAAAACTTGCTGAAATATCTTATTTGCGTGTAAAAGTTTATAGACCAAAACTTAACTTCAACCAGTTGATCATAGAAATCAGACTAATTAATTGTTATGCTTAGGAGCTGCTGTACAGTATGTGACTGTTGGTACCCTGAACCACAAGGTTTATTCTCCAATGACTCACTCAGCAGACAGACAATACACACAAATGATTCCTCCTCCTCTCCATCACTTATTATTTTCCTCCTTATGCTCCAGCATCAAGCACTTTCTTCCTTCCGCAGACTTTTTCACAAGCTCGTTATTTATGCCTTCATCTGTTTTCCCTCTCTTTCTTCACACCTTACCCACCTCTCCCACTCCCTGTCTGACACCAGAGAGCTGGCACACTTTAAGGTGCCGCTGTGCGAAGCAGGCAGCCGACACCTCCAGCGCCACTGCATTGCATCTATATCACAGCAAAGCATAATGGAAAGCCATGTATATGCCATCGCCAGAAGAGACGTATTTGACACTTCCAACAACTTGTTTTTCTTGTGTGTCAAACCTTTTGTATACTTTTTTAGGGCTACTGCAAATAGTGATTTTTATTTTGTATTGAAATAATCACCAATTAATTACCAATACTTCTTCAAGCTTTAAAATGTTAAACTATGCCCATCATTAGTTTACATTTCTTGTTTTGCCTGAAACACAGTACAAAACCCAAATATATTTAGTCCGAAATGAGGGTTGATAACTAATGTTAACAACAATATGTAGATGAATACCATTTTCATGTCTAGACACCAAATATTAAATAAAATATGAACTAGAACACAAGTGGGAACTGAAGATAAATAATTGGGAAAATGGGGTGCTGGTAAGAATATTTATTTTGGAGTCAAACTAGCTGTTTCTTCTGGTTTACAGTCTTTGTGCTAAGCTAATTAGCTTATGTTGTTGCATTATATTTAACAGAAAGATATGAGTGGTATGAATCTTCTTATTCAACTACTGGAAACTAAGCGAATCCTGTTTATTTCGAAGAAAAAAAATAATCTCTTGAATCATTAAATTGACTTTTTTTCTTTCTCTTTGCTTAGAGACATATTTTCAACAAAGGATGGGTCTCTGTGATTCTTGTCCTGATTTAATCGGAGCAAGACAGCTAAGTGACATCTGAAACGACACTGAATAACTGATGGCTGGTCCAAAGTGGAACTACCTCATGAGAAGTTATGAATAGACAATGCCTGATTACATCAACAAAGCCCATTCCTCCTGGAACCTGCTCCATAAATCTTAAATGACTGACGTACTGCAAAGGACATGATGCTAGCAGTAGAGAGAGAGCTGTGCTAGAATTATCACACTCACACACAGATGCACTATCTCTCGCTTTTTACCCAACCCCCAACTCCTGAGGCTCTTAAGATGGCTCAGAGAACTCTAAAGAGCCCGAGAGGAGAGGGAGATGGTGAGACAGGACTTAAAAGAAAGAGACGAGACAGAAGGAAGAAACGTAGCGATAAAGACGGAGATCAAATGTAGAGGAAGACGAAGAGACAGACATGGGGGAAGAGGGGAAAAGAGGGGAACGAGATAGTTTGGTGAGGTTTGAGGCAACGCTGAGACCTACTAATGCAGAACTGAGGAATTCTCACTGCTGACTCCAAACACATTCCTACAGCCTGCAAATATTAACCCCCACCTCACCACCTCTGCCTCCGTCTGAATGCACGAGGCAGCCACCAGGGCCCTCCGTGAGGAAACTATTCATTGATATCAACTGATGTATTCTAACAGTGAAGTGAAGGGCAGACTCAAATATTCAAGGTGCTACAGCTACACTGCAAACATGGTCCTCACCAAATGCTAAGGAGTGGTAATCTGTGTATGAGTGCCAATAAATCGAGACGTAGGCAAACTTCACTCATAATTAACAACCAAGCAGTCTGACCATTTCTTTATACAGAAAAACTCCTGAGGATGAGGAAAGGCAACATATCTAAGCAATGGAGCTTTGCTGAATCAAGTGCTCTTGGTTTCTATCGAAGTTCAGGATTAGCTTTTAAATCATGGTCATTGTTGACTGCGGGGAGAGAACATTATTAAGATTCAAAATAATTCATGAGTCTATTGCAATTCTGCAGCCCACAGATCAGACGCAGATATTTACATTATCACTGAATATACTGTAGCTATAAAAATGCATGCAATTATTAACAATGATCTTATCCGAGAGAAATATTTGGACATTAATGTTGTATTTAGCGTTAAAAAATATGCACAATTATTTTTAGAAACCATTCAAAGGTCAGTACAAAAAAGTTTGGGGAATTCTCAAAGTTAAAGATGCCACGCAACTAATATTGGAGGAAATAAAAATCAATTATTTATTTATTTTTTGGAAGA